AGTGAGCAAGGGGCAGAGAGGGAGGGAGGAAGGGAGAGGAAGAGAATCCCACAAGAGGGGGAGAGAGAGAGAAAGAGAAGCCGGGCTCACCTAAAGTGGGGCTTGAGCTCACCCGATATGGGACTTGAACTCATGAACCATGAGATCATGACCTGAGCCAAAGTCAGATGTTTAACGACTGAGCCACCCAGGCATCCACATGTCAGAACCACATTCATTCATTCATTCATTCATTCATTCATTTAAATGTTTATTTATTTGAGAAAGAGAGAACCCACACAAGTGGGGGAGGGGCAGAGAGGGAGAGACAGAATCCCAAGCAGGCTCTGCAATGTCAGCACAGAGCCTGACATGGGACTCCATCCCATGAACTGTGAGATCATGACCTGAGCCGAAATCAAGAGTCGGATGCTTAACCAACTGAGCCAGTCATGCGTCCCCAGAACCACTTTTAAGACGTTATATTATCACCAGGCAATATCCATGCCTTTATCTTCATTTGTTCTAGAAACTTTCATGTACATCTCTGTTTAGAAGCTCTCTAAAGCAAATCAAGTCAGACACATCCTAGAGAAGGAGTTTTTATTTAAAAATAAATTTTGGGTAGCTCAGTCAGTTGAACATTGGACTCTTGATTTCAACTCACAGTTAATCTCACAGTCATGGGCTAGAGCCGTGAGTCAGGCTCCAAGCTGAGAATGGAGCCTGGTTGGGATTCTCCCTCTACCCACCCTGCTCACATGCGTGTGTGCTCTCTCTCTCAAAATAAATAAATAAACTTAAAATAATAAAATAAAAATAAGTCTTAGGGGTGCATGGGTGGCTTGGTTGTTTGAGCGTCCAGCTCTTGATTTCAGCTCAGGTAATGATTCCAGGGTCATGGGATCGAGCTCCACATCAGGCTCTGTGCTGAGCCTAGAGCCTACTTGAGATTCTCTCTTTCTCTGTCACTGCTCTTTTCCCCTGCTCACACTCACTCTCTCTCTGAAAAAAAAAGTTTTACAAAGTAAAATTTAATCTCTAGAAAGTATTAAATCCCACTTTGTAAGTTGTTTCCTGTTCCACAACTTGAAAGCAAACCTCTATTTCCTTTCCCTATCAACTCTGAACTTTTTTTGACCCATATGTTTTTATCCTCTCTGTTCTGATTTTTTTAACCTTAGTTTTGTCTTAAACTTCATATAAATGGAATCATAGTGTGTGTACTTGTTTGTGTCCAGCTTTCACTCACTGTCATGCCATGTATCAATAGTTCATTACATTTATTCTGGAGTAGTTTTCTACTCTGTATTTACCACCATTTTTTTATTCATTCTCCTGTTCAGGGGTTTTGGGGTTGTCTCAGTTTTGGCCACTGTGAATACAGTTGCTTTGAAAATACTCGTTTATATGTCTTTTTGTAGATATTTGGATTAATAGATACAAGTGGAGCAACTGAGTATATTGTTAATTTTATAAAAAACTGCCAAACCTTTTCCCAAACTGCTTGTACCATTTTACATTCCCTCTGGCAATGTGTGAGAAATCTGGGTGCTCTACATACACCGTTATAGGTCTCTTTAATTTTAGTCATTTTAGAGGACAGGAAGTGACATCTCATTATAGTATTAACTTGCACTTTGCTGATGACAAATGTTGAGCTCTTTTTTGTACTTCCTGGCCATTGTAAATCCTTTTATGTGATTTGTTTGAGTGTTTAGTTCATTTTTTAAAAATTGGGTTATTTTTATTATGAAGTGTTTTTTTTTTTTAAGAGTCTGGATATAAGCCCTTTGTTACCACTAATTGCATCATCTGGATCATCTTGGAGTTGGTTTCTGTTGACTGTATTTTTTTTTTTTGAGTGTGGGTCATGGTTTCCTTTTTCTTGCTATACTTAGTGATTTGTTATTGGATACTGGATATTATGACTAATACATTGTAGAGACTCTGGATTCTTTTTGTATTCCTCTGAAATGTGATTTCTAGCAGACGCAAGCCTTCAACTCAACTCAGACTCCAAACTCTTGTCTCCTTGTGTTGGGCAGTAGCTGAAATATCTGCTCAGTCTTGTAAGCTTCCAGCTGCTACTTTATTGCTAAATCTCCTGGGGTTTCCCCCATACATGTGTAGTTTTAGCAAGAAGCAAACACTTTGGGTGGATTTTATAGGCTTTACTCCCTATGCCTTTCCCTCTTGGGTTTCTCCCCTTATTTTCTGGCTACTCTGCCAGCCCTGAACTCTGTCCTCTGATACCTCAAAAGCCAGTAAGGTGAGGCAATCCAAACTGTGAATTGAACAAAAAGTCACACATTCTCAAATCTCCCTAATTGTAGTTTCTGCCTGGTTTGGGTTAGTTTCTACTGCCTTCACATAATGATTTTTTAATGCTTTGTCCAGAATTTAAACTTCTACAGTGGCAGGGTTGGTCTAACCAAACTACTCTGCCAGTACTGGAAGTTGGAAGTCTGCTGTCTTATTATATGTAAACTTTTTTTAGTATATTAGTTGCATTTAGGGCAAACTAAAGGTTGCCTGAGTTTTATAGAAGTGTAATGTTGTGAAAAGCTAGCTATAGTGACAGTTGTAACTAGCTAAGAACTGTTCTGTTCTCTCAAATAACCATGTGTGATTTGTGTGCTCTGTGGATTAATCACAGGTCAACGTTCCCTTCTGGTCTTTGATCTCTTCTTTTCATCAAGTTATCAGATTAAAAGTAATTTAATTTGAACCAAAATAAAATAAAAGATATGTCTATTTTTGAAAGGAAATATGCTGCTAAAAAAAAATCACACAGTCCAGTCCAGATGAAAATAAATTTTAAGTTATCTGTTCTAATACCACAAATAATCGAGATTTACAGTTTACTGGTTTTTTTTTTCCACATTTGCAATAAAACACAATTTTTAGGGTTGTTCTTGATTTATCCATAATCATCTTCTGTGAAACATCCCCTAATCTAAATAGAAGCGAATTTAGATTAGCCTTTTGGCTTTTGTTGTCCATGATTTTGTTGGTGTCCTGGGCTGCTGTTAGGCACCAGCAGAGGGAGTCCATATCATGCACCATAGACTCCAAGTGAATTTTTAAATTCTTACCTATTTGGATGTATTGCATTTTACTTTCTATATTAAATTATTTCTGTACTGTTTACGTGTATAGGAACTACTCAATACAGAGATTGAATGCCAAGTGCCATAATTATCTTATAATGATAACTGAGAGAACCATGACTGAAAAAGAAATCCTGATCTGTACACTGCAATTTGTTAATGTCTCTAGTATAGAAGACAGAATCCCATTGTGTTCACTGAGCCCTCTAGCAGATCTAGCAGTCTGTCATACTGTGGTAGCAGTCAAGACTGCTAATTTCATAAGCTCTTGGCAAACCATCACTGAAGTCTCCTATTCTTAGCATCTGTCGTAGTATGGAACATTTGGTTCGTTCTTAATAACTACTTGATGGATGAGTAACATTTTGAGAATTTTAACATGTAGAGGCAGATTGTCAAACTGCTATTTGGCCAAGGTACTATGTAAAGAATCTTTCATTATTGGTAAATATCAAGGTCCTACGTACGTGTGGATTGGTCCAACCAATTGGACCGACCTGATTTCAGACACAGAGAAACCTAGTTAAATAGTAAGAAATGTGAATTATTTTCCTTGACTCTTTTATAGTTATCTCAAAATGTTTATAGTAATAATTATAGGCCCTGCAGATCAGGTGGTGGGAACTACTGATTTGGGACCATACTAGATGCTCTTAGCTGTGATTTCAGGGTGCTATGTAAGAGTGGGGTGGCATAACTCTTGGGAGGTGTCTTGCTTGACCTCAGGTCCAGATATTATCTTACCCCAAACCATCTATAGCCCAGAAGAAAAGCAAACGTACCCTTAAGCCTTGTACTAAGATATACTACATCTTAATTAAGAGTTTGTCTCACTGAAGGATAAAAATCATATTTAAATTCTTGCATTTGTATATTTTAAAATGGAGAGTGTGGATGCAAAAATGCAATTTGCAGTTGGGTTTTTTTTTTTTTTTTTTAAGATTCATTTATTTTGAGAGATTGTGGGCACATGCACGAGAGCAGGAGAGGGACACAGAGAGAGGGAGAGAGAATCCCAAGGGACACAGAGAGAGAGAGGGAGAGAGAATCCTAAGCGGGCCCTGTGCTGTCAGCATAGAACCCAACACAGGGCTTAATCTCATGACCCTGGGATCATGACCTGAGCTGAAATCAAGAGTTGGATGCTCAACCAACTGAACCACCTAGGCGCCCCTGCAGTAGGTTGTTTATTTTTAAAGATTATTATTATTTTTTAATTGTTTTTTTTTGTTTATATATTATTTTTGAGAGAGAGAGAGAGAGCAGGGAAAGGGCAGAGAGAGGGAGACAGAGGATCTGAAGTGGGTTCTGTGCTGACCACAGAGAGCCCAGTGAAGGGCTCCAACTCAGGAATAGTGACATCATGACCTGAGCCAAAGTCGGACGCTGAACCAAGCCACCCAGGCGCCCCTACAGTAGGTTTTTTTTAAAGCTAGATTTCTTTTTGTGTCATTTATTTTTTTATTAAAAATTTTTTTTCTTTAAATGTTTATTTATTTTTGAGACAAAGACAGGATGCGAGTGGGTTAGGGGCAGAGAGAGAGGGAGACACAGAATCCAAAGCAGGCTCCAGGCTCTGAGCTGTCAGCACAGAGCCTGACTGGGGCTCGAACCCATGAGCTGTGAAATCATGACCTGAGCCAAAGTTGGACGCTCAACCAACTGAGCCACCCAGGCGCCCCATTTTTGTGTCATTTTTAACTGCAAAGCAAAGAGTACAGTATTTTTCTGATGTGCTAGGATTGATCTGTAGGCCCCAGGTTCAAATAGGAATGAAACTGAGTTGAGGCAGAATTTGCTGTAAAGTAGCTTCATAGAGTATGTATAGTTAGGAGAGAGCTTGAGATCCATTCAGTCTGGCCTGGAAGCCCTGTCCTGTGAGTGTAACCTAGAAAGCTGCATGCTAATCAGCTTTATTCTTTGTAATAACAACTATTCACTGAAAGTGGATTGGCAGAATGGGGCTGATGAGAATCTAGTGATGTTAACTAATAGAGAATGCTAGATAGTAATAGCTAGTATTTATTAAGCAGTTACCACATGGCAGGCTGTATGCTATATTTCCTATATTTCATAAAACCACCCTTTGAAGTTGTTACCATTGTCCCCATTTGTCCTGCAAAGTGAGATGATTTTCCCAATATTAAATAGTAACTGGTAGTGCTTAGATGAGAAATCAATCGATTCTGTGCCCATGTCCCATGTTTTCCCATACTGCACTTTAGCTGAGGGATTAGAACATTCTAATTATAGCATCTAAGAAAAAATTGGGAGTTCTAGACTAGGGGCAGAGACTTCTTACTCTTTGTATCTCTTCTGCATCTATTATGAGGCAGAAAATCCTTGTACTGAATGAAAAAAGGCCCTGTGAGTTTAAGAGGGAAAAAAAAAAAAGAGTGATGAGGAAAGGTCAGTTCAAGCAGATCACTCATCATCTTATTTAGCCAGTCCTGAAGATGGGAAACCTCAAATAGGTAGAAAAAGTGGCAGTCGCTTACAGGGAGTAAGTCCATGAGGTCTGAGAGAGAACTTGAACACAGGGAGATCATCTGAGCAGACAGTAGTGTTTATTCCTTTGATAGGTATTTTCAGTAAAGTCCAAAAGGTGGCTAAGAGTTTTAGATCTCACCAGATATAAGAAGTGTTTGCCATTCACTAGATACCTAGAAGCTAATTATTGGTAATAATCAACTCATGTTGACTTAATGTGATATGCTTTTATTCTGCTAAGACTTAGACATCAAGCAGTCTCCCCTGGATGAGGTTTGAGCTGTAACCACGGAGTACATGACATATATCATTAGGCAGAATGGTCCCTCCCCCACCAAAGATGCCCACATCATAATCCCCAGAACCTGTGACTGTGTTACCTTATGTGGCAAAAAGAACTTTGCCATGTGATTAAGGTTAATAAGGGCCTTGAGATGGGAAGATAATCCTGGATTATCCAGGTGCACCCATTTTAATCACAAGTCCTTAAAAGGAGCAAATTTTTTCCTGGCTGTGGTCAGAGAAATGACAATAGAAGAAGGGTCGGAGAGATGCAACGTTGCTGGATTTGAAGGCAGAGAAAGGGTACCAGGATCCAAGGAACTCAGGAAGCTTCTAGATGCTGGAAAAGGCAAGGAAACAGATTCTCCACCAGAGACTCCAGAAAGGAATGCAGCCCTGATTGTAGCCCAGTAAGACCACTGAACTATAGAACTGTAAGATAATAGCTTCCTGTTGTTTTAAGCCACTGAGTTTGTAGTAATTTGCTACAGCAGCAATAGAAAAATAGAAATAATTCACCATGTCAGAAATCTAGGAACCATCCATGACACCTTCCTCACTCCTTACTTTATATTTACTCTATCAGTGTCCTGTTGATTCACCTTCCTAAATAGCTCTTGGATCTGTTCCTATCTTTCCACTTCTCTGGCCTGTCATTTCTCGCTTGTTCTACTGTAATAGTCTCCTGTTTTCTCTTGTGTAGCCTAATCTCAGCATTGCAGCTACAGTGCTCTTTTCATAGGGAGAAGTATCATTTTTCCCCCACCCCTAATGAACTTATTTATTTATCCTTTAGATTTCAGTTCAGGCATTACTTTCTCTGGAAGCCTTCACTGGTGCACTTGCTCCCAGTCTAGGTCAAGTTTACTCAACATTAATTCCCATGGTAATGATTGTTATAAGTGTTTATAGAATTGTCTTTCTTTATTTCAGACTACTCATCTTAGATTCTAAGTATACATTCATTTCTGTAATTATTTGATCATTTCTATCCTCACTGGACTCTGACAGCCATGAGAGCTAGAATCATGCCAAGTTCTGGCTTATCATTGTATCCTTAGAACTTTATCTAGTGCCTGTGTATAAAGCATACACAATAAATATATGTTGATTCAATAAATGACTTAAAACATGTTAAATAGTGCCACAGTGACTTTCCTTTAATACAAAACAGGTATCTTAAGTATGATACGTTGATTTAAAGTATAGCTGTGAAGGGGCACCTGGATGGCTCAGTCAAGCGTCTGACTCTTGATTTCGGCTCAGATCATGATCTCATGGTTCGTGAGATTGAGCCCCACGTCGGGCTCCATGCTGTCAGCACAGAGCCTGCTTAGGATTCTTTCTCTTCCTCTCTCTCTGCCCCTCCCCCTGCTCACATTTTCTCTCTCTCTCTCTTTCCCTCAAGATAAAAAAAAAAAGTATAGTTGTGAAGAATATCTAGCTTGTAGGATAACCACCTCAAAGGATTTGAATAATACTTTAAAATATCTTTTAAAAAGTGTTATGAAAGCAGTTTATCAACTGTAATTGGAAAGTGGATGATTCGTAACCCTACTGAACAAAGAAAATAATTTTCATTCTTTAGCTTTAGAGTTTTTTTTTTTTTTTCAGTAGAAAGAATTCCAGTTAGTGCTTGTTTACATGTGATAGAGCTATTCATGTAAAGTGAATATCAGCTGTTAGGTTTTATTTTTTATTTTTAAAATATTTATTTGTTTTCGGGAGAGCTCAAGCAGGGCAGGGGCAGAGAGAGGGGACAGAGGATCCAAAGCAAGTTCTGCATTGACAGGCCGACAGCAGCAAGCCTGACGTGTGGGGCTTGAACTCACGAATTATGAGATCATGACCTGAGCTGAAGTCAGACGCTCAACTGACTGAGCCACCCAGGTGCCCAAGCTGTTAGGTTTTAAATGTAATTGACGTGAGGCTAGTTCCTCAAGAGTGTTTTTAGTGACCAAAAAATGTGTAGGAGTTAAATGTTTCTATGAATGAATGTGGAGATGAGAATATATATATGGTTGTGGATGGAGGTAGGGTTAAAGTTCTAAAAGTAGAAGTATTTTAGAGACTGCTGCTTTATTCTAAGATAATTGTTAGGGAACAGGTTAATTATAAAGGAATATTAATTACTGCACGTGAGATGTATCTTTAACACCCTTACACTTCTAAGAATATAAAAGTTGGATGTAACTTTATGAAATGTGTAAAAGAATGTAGCAATGTTAAATTATGGCACGAGATAGGTGTGTGTTTTTTAAAAAAAAACTCATGTAGTGAGTATAATAAAACAGTTAAATGTTATATTGGTGTCCTAGAGTTTGTTTGTATAAACCTTAAAGGTGGGAGACTCTCACTACATAACATTATACTTTATTTATTTATTTAAACGTTTATTCATTTTTTGAGAGAGAGGCAGAGAGAGAGAGAGCATGAGCCGGGAAGGAGCAGAGGGAGAGGGAGACACAGAATCCGAAGCAGGCTCCAGGCTCTGAGCTGTCAGCACAGAGCCTGATGCGGGGCTCAAACTCACAAACTGCGAGATCATGACCCGAGCGGAAGTCAGATGCTTCACAAACTGAACCACCTAGGCGCCCCCCCCCGCCCTTTTTTTGAACGTTTATTCATTTTTTGAGAGACAGAGAGCATGAACATCATTCAGTACAACCAGATAAACTACCTAGTTTGTGCCTTGAGTTTCAAATTTGCAATAAGTTATTATTACTCCCTAAGTGCTATCTGTTGACTTTTATATACTTTTATAATGTAAATGTTTTGTGCAAAACAGACATGTAAAATAATACTATATATTATTTTTTAAAAATCAAGAAGGAAGCATAGGTTTCAGGGGCATTAGACAAGATTAGAATATAAAAGGCTAAAAGATCTGACCATACCCTTTCCCTATGAAGTTTAGCCTTTGTGGCTCTCAGCTGCCTGTAGTTACACATTAAGATCTAGAATATTATGCAAGAGATCATTTTGTTTGGTTAGGCTGGAAAAGGAGTTGATTGAGGAAGTTCCTTTAGTGACGTTTAGGACATAAAATTAGTTGGATTAAGTGATTGGTTAGATGTGGGTAGGAAGAGAGGAATTTAAAACTTGAGCTTCTGGGTGGGAGCATGGGGGCACAAGTGAAATACAGAGATAAGCATTATCCCCTCTTTACAGTGAGGAAAGGCTAGGAGCTAGCCCAGGCCAGTGACCCCTTGTTTAAATATTTTAATGAATTCTTTGAAGTCTGAGGGGATCTTTTGCATGGAGAAAAATACTCATCACTGCTCATAATTTAATTTACGGTGTATTAAACCTACTCATCTAGGGGCACCTGGGTGGCGCAGTCGGTTAAGCATCCGACTTCAGCCAGGTCGCGGTCTCGCGGCCCGTGAGTTCGAGCCCCGCGTCGGGCTCTGGGCTGATGGCTCAGAGCCTGGAGCCTGTTTCCGATTCTGTGTCTCCCTCTCTCTCTGCCCCTCCCCCGTTCATGCTCTGTCTCTCTCTGTCCCAAAAATAAATAAATGTTAAAAAAAAATTTTTTTTGAAAAAAAAACCTACTCATCTAATAAACTAAGTTCTAAAATAACATTTTTTAAACCTGTAGAATTGATTATAAGCTTATTTAGTTAAATTCTCTTTAATAGTTTAAATTAGAATTATAATTAATATGACTGTGTAACACATCCCTAATTATTGCAAAACTTAGTACACTTAAATCGATTTTAAAATATTAACCCATGATTAATTAATTTACTCATTCTGTACTTGTTTTTTGTATCTTACTGGGGCTATAATAATTTTCTCAGATTCTTACCTCTGTACTTTCCCAGGATCCTAGTAATTTTTCTATACTTTCCTAGGGTTACAGTAATCTTACCAATACCAAAAACAAAACAAAATTTCAGACAAGTCAGGATTTAGTGTTTTTGAGAAGTTTGATTCTCAGCCAAAACACAAGATTTGGTAATGCTTTTAAAGATTAAAAGCTTAAAAGCTGTGGTGGTGTGCACTGGGTCCCTTCTACAATTAAACTTTACCTGTTAAGTTAGTTAATGGGATTTTTGCAAGCTCATGCTGATCCATAGATTTTTGGTTTCTTACAACCTGGAGTTAGTCCCTGAATGAAATACTTCTGTGTTCTGTTTTCATTATGAATTGCCCTTTTCTGGTAGCTTTACTGCCAGGATTTCATGCGTTTCATCTCCGAAGAGGTCCGGGATTATTAGGTCTATACAGTTAGTTTTCTTTAGGATATTTCACTAATTCATCCAGTTAGAACTCAGAGTTTCTACTTGGTCATTGTGTGACATGGGTGCTCATTGCCACTGGGTCCCCTTTTAAATAGTGTATATGGGTGAGGACCTGCACTGAATCTACCTCTCCTGTTCTTAGTACCTAACCTGCTTTTTCTGGAACTATTTGACTTAGCCCCTGTTCCCTGTGCCTGCCCCTGCCTCCCTGTACCTTAACAAAAAAGTATTCAGCTATATTTTATAAACAGGCACATTTAATAGGAGAAACAAACCCCTAAATATTAACACTGACCTAATTATTAGCTATAATTATTATAACTAATTATTAATTATAATAACTATTATTTTCACCCTTCTTTACAACTATATTTTTATGTATTTTAACTTTCCCTTTTGTATCTTTCTATGAAGTCATGGCTTATCATAGATTGAATTTGTTCTATTTAGCTATAATTATTATTCTCTTTTTAATGTTCCAATTGTGACAGCCTGGCTAACCTTAAGTTGGGTTCCTTGTCTTCAGCACTACCCTGGACATTGTTTAAAAAACTTCTTGCTTCCTGACCACTAGATGTTCCAGGCCCTTCTTGATTTTTTTTCTTGCCCTAAGACATGCATCTAGAACTCTGGTTCCTTTTCCTGGAGGAAACACATTTAAAAATGGTTTACGTTGGGGCGCCTAGGCGGCTCAGTCGGTTAAGCATCTGACTTTGGCTCAGGTCATTATCTCATGGTTGATGGGTTCGAGCCCTGCGTCAGGCTCTGCACTGACAGCTCAAAGCCGGGAGCCTGCTTCTGATTCTGTGTTTCCCTCTCTCTCTCTGTCCTTCCATCGCTCATGCTCTGTCTCTCTGTCTCAAAAATAAATAAACATTTAAAATTTTAAATAAATAAATAAAAATAATTTATGTGCATTTATACACAAAGAGCATTGAAAAACTCGGTTGTGCTTGTATTTATCTGAACGTTATTTATCAAATTATCTTCATGTAGTCTTTTTAATGTTTTGTACATACAGTTTCTATGTACATACAATTACTTTACTGATAGTGACCCTAAAACATTTTTTTGTGAACAAATTAATCTTGAGGGAAATTGATATTTCTGTAAACAGCAGATCAGTACTTTCCAGTGTGGTTATTTATTTTGCTCATCACATAATTTAGACACTGTCAGATTTTTAAATTTGCTTTTCAGGACTTTATTTTTATTTTTATTTTTTTAAGTAATCTGTACACCTAATGTGGGGCTCAAACTCACAAACCTGAGATCGAGTTGCAGGCCCCACCGACTGAGCCAGCCAGGTGGCCCAGTTTTCAGGACTTTTCTATTTATAGTATCTCTAAATTCCTACAAAAATGGAACCACAGAATTATCTTCCAAGAATGCATTAGCCTCTTCTGAGAAGTGGAGAAAAGTCTCGTCCTATAGGTGGAAATATACCTAGTGGTGTAACTTGCTTTACATGTATGTAACTTCGTGTATACAGATGGGAGAGTGCTCCTTTCCCTTGGAAGGTGTTCTTCAGTTTACAGAGACCTCACTTTGAGGTTCCTTTGCCTGTCTTTTATCTTTCCATTTGTTTTCTTCTGAATTAGGGATCAGAAACTCAAATGCCCACAGGGCGTATAAACAAGTTGAATAAGGACTGCAATAAGTTAGAGAGTGCCCATTAAAGGTGAGGACTGTTCGTTCTAGTTAATTTTTACCACGGGGTATCCAGATCCCTTGTTGCCAGTTCTCAACATGTTTCTAGAGAAGCAAGAAGTCTGAGAATTTTGTTTACATCATCTCAATGTTTACATGTTGGCATTTACTTCAGATTTTAAAAACCTAGTTGGATGCTGCTCCTGGGCCAGCACTTTGCCCCCTCTGCGCTAGATCTTTTGTAATTTAAAAATCAAAAGCCCAATGTTACGTACTTGCTAACAGACACATCTTTCTGCCCCCCCCTCCCCGATTAGGCTCCATTTCTTTCCCAGAATTGCTGTGTGGGGCAGTCACCGTTTTTTGACTTGTTCCTTGAAAGATTGTGCGTCATTTCTGAATGAAAGCAGTTGAGAAAAAGAAATATTGTTTAGGTCTGAGCATGTCTGTTGCTGTTTTCCTCCTGAAAACCTTGGTGATTACAGTTCTTTAAAACTAAGTCTTTCGAATCCTCAGTCAGTATTAGGCTTTACATGTATCCGTGGGCCGTGCTGGTAAAGTCGCTGGGAAGTAGGCAGTGGGAAGAGAGTAACCATCTAGGGAAACTACTTACTAGTGAGTTTGTTATCTTGTTAGAGAATAGAATTTGCTTTCTGGGTTTCTAGATGGCCTGGGTTTATAAAAATATCTCTAAAATGTTTTTTTATTTCTCTCTCCCCTCCACCCACTGTCTTTCTTAGGTTTTCAAAACAAGAACAGAGTTGCGATCTTGGCAGAACTGGACAAAGAGAAAAGAAAATTACTCATGCAGAACCAATCTTCAACAAATCATCCTGGAGCTAGGTATTGACGAATAATATGGGTTTTATATTCAGTGATATAAAAAATATTTTGGACAAAATACCTCAAGTTGATTGGCAGTGGTTTATTTCTCTAATATTGGAATTTACATGTTATGTTTTGTTTCCTAGTTAGATTTGAAAAAATTAGACAAGTAGATTTTGTTGGATTTTAAATATTTTAATTCTAACTAGAATATTCAATGTTCCCTACAGCCTGCTTTTTAAAAAAGAAAAGGATTTGTGTGGTTTTGTTTGTTACTGAAATTATTGTCAGCATCCCACTCTTTAAGCGTTCTGTAAAGCAGGTAAAATTTAGGTATCTTGATGATCTTTGTGTTCAGTTTCTGCCTTCTTACATCTCTTCCTTCAGATTATCCCATTTAACCACCACCCTAGCCTTCCTCTCTCTTCCAGCCAGACCTCTTAAAAGTGCTGTTTATCCTCATCTTAACTGACTCCCTTTTACTCCTAAGTGCACTCCACTTGGTCTTGAGGCCCCTCTCCCTGCTTCCCAAGAATAGGTGCTCCCCTAAGTCACTTGCACCCTCATTGTAGATAAATCCAGTAGGTCAGAGTCCTTTTCTTACGAGACATGTTAACATTATTTGACACCACTGATCACTCCCTCCTTCTGCAAATACTCTTTTTCCTTGGCTTCCATTCACTCAGTGTCACACTGTCTTGATTTCTCTTGCAGACATTTCTCCACTGCCTGTCTCGTGAATGTCAGTGCTCCTCAGAGTTCAGTTCTAGATCCAGTTTCCCAGTCTTCTCACATCTTTTCCATTGGACAGCTGCATCCACTTTCACAGCCTGTTATTTATGTGCTGATAACTTTTATCTAGTTTTCTCTCCCAAGTCCCAAACCGCCTCCTGGATACCTCCACTTTGATGTCGTTGAGGCATTTCAAACTTAGTATGTCCCGAGCTTAACTCCTCTTACCTTCGTGCCTCTAACTAACTAGTTAATATTCTTGGGTTTCTTGTCTCAGTGGATGGTACAGATCTACATAAGTGTGACCTTCATTTATTATTATTATCCTTTCATTTCTGTCTCCAAGCATTTACCATTCTTTTATGTTTATACTTTGAAATGTGTTTCAAATCTATTCTTCTTCATTGCTGCTGGTCCTGGCCACTCTCATTTCTTGCCTCAATTACTACAGCTGCTTCCTCACTGAGTTTCCTGTCATCTTAAGTCTTCCTGAATACATTTACCAGTTGTGTCAGTTAGGATGCTTTAATCTAAAAGTAACTGAAAACCAAGAAAATGGGCACGTACATTAGGATGTACGTTAACCAAGAGTATGAAGAGCAGGGGTGTCCAGAGTGGCGTCATGCGGTGGCCCAACAGTGTCAGCAGTGCTCTGGCTTCCCTCTGTGCCTTTCTCTGTGGGTCACCAGCTCCCTAATGGTCAAAATACGACTGCAGTAGCCTTAGCCTCACCTCTACATTGAGCCACCTATAGAGGCCAAAGCCAGAAGGTTCCTCCCCTGTGTTCCTTTTGCAAGAGCATGGAAAATGTTCTCAGAAGGCTTCTGGCAGACTACCCATCAAGTCTAGTTGCCCAGAATTGTGTATCTTTCTCTTGCCTAAGCCAGAAACCAGCAAGGGGAATGGCACTGTCTTAACACCCACCAGAGTTCACCCCCTGAGAGATGAGCCTGGCCGGCCCTGAAGCATGGAAACACCGATAATAGAACTAAGTTTGTGTTCCATTGGCAAGGAAATAGGAAGACCAGCAGTTGTTGAGGTGACCAGCACTGTCTGCCATAGTGGTGGTCCTTCAGAGCCATCATATGGTACTGATGATCATGTCACTTCTCTGCTTCTAATACTCTTGGGGGTCTCCCTTTACTGTTAGGATAAGGTCTACATTTCTTAATGTATTTCACAAGGCTTTTCATATCCTGGCACCTGCCTTCCTCCCCAGCATCATTTTTTGCTAACCCACTTCACCCCTTTTCAATCCTGACCTTCAATCCTATTGAACTCTTAATTCCTTCAGACACATCAAGGTCTTTTGCCCTGGGCTTTTTTACACTTGCTGTACCTTCTGCTTGAAACATTCAGTTCTTCTGTTTTCATCATAAATGTAACTTTATGATAGACTGGAGTAACCTCAGATCTGTTTGAAAGTAAGGGACCATAAATCATCCCCCAAAAAAAAAAAAAAAAAAAGAGTAATTCGAAGCCCCAGTAAATAATATAGGCTTTCTTCATATAAATTAACATCGATAGTGGGAGAAGGAAAAAAAGACTTACTCTGGAAGGCCTTTTTTATCCCTATAAAGAATATATAAATGAAAAATGTGATTCAGAAGTAAGGAAGTCTCTACTTTCAACAGCCAAATAACTAAGATTCCCATTTTAGCATTGCACTCTCGAGACCCTCTCTTAATAAGGACTTCCGGGATCATGCTGAGCAGCAGCATATTGCAGCCCAACAAAAGGCAGCTTTGCAGGTGAGCCAAGTGTAACTGACATTCTTGTCTCATTGGAGATTTCCTGGATCTTGGAATCCAGCGCAATTCCCATTTTGTATTTCAGTGGAACGATATCAATAAAAGTGTTGCGCACATCATTGCAATGGGTTTTTGATGTTCAGTCATGCTCAAAGGATTTGAAGGACCAATACAGCAGTAATGAAAGTATCTTTTATGGTTTTGACACCGCCATGATTGATTCTGTGCCGTACCTGGCAAGGGATTGCTTGTGTACAAAAGAGTTTAGGATATTTGGATGGACAGAATGATATTAAAAGCTAAACTGCCTAGTTTAATGGTATGTACATACTTTTTTCGAATTTGTCATGCCGTTACATCCCTTAATAGTCTTACTGGTTCTTTGTTGTTTGGATTCTATTTTTAATGGTCAGTATATGTTTAAAGATTCACGCTGACCATAGGAATGTGATAATCCATCAGTTTTTAAAATTTTGCTCTTCATAGTAATAATAAACAGTTTTAGTATTACAGTGATCTTGGATAGTTTAACATTCTCGGAGACCTTGAACAAGCCATCATTACCTATGCTTTTAAACCTTGGAATTTCAGAATTGGAAGAGACATAAAAGATCATCTCACTTCAGGCAACCTAAAAACAATCTTCCTTTCTCTAGCGATAGAGGGAGGTCACTGGTGGTTTTCTGTTACTTACATTACAACATTCTCAACAAAATGTTGGTGTCTTAATCACCAGTAATCGGCTCCCTTCCCAACTGCTGCCTTTCTTTCTCAAGTTCCTGCTTTGTTGATTAAGAGGAGATCTCTGGGATCTTTGTTGCTAGTTCTCCCTGCTCCAAGGAACAAAGTAATTCATGTCTTTGACTCATTATTGACTTTAGAGAATCACAGAGGAGAGAGTGGGTCTGATAAATGAGTGCCTGGTGCAGCTTGTTAATATGAATTTTTTATTACTGTCCATCTCCCGTGTATTTAAACAAAATTAGCAGCAGCAGAACTGATTTTTAAAATAAATTTTGTCTCAAGGATAAGTAATTTTAATGCCTTGGTTGAAAAACTGTGACTTTTAATAGCTTAATTGCTTTTTTTTTTTTAAACTCTTCCCCCCAGCACGCACATGCACATTCATCTGGATACTTCATAACTCAAGACTCCGCATTTGGGAATCTTATTCTTCCTGTCTTACCTCGCCTTGACCCAGAGTGAAGAAAATATTTGTAGCAAAGGCAACTATATCAGATGCCAAAGCTACTATCATTTAGTGCTATACAAACTGTGACTTACAGAATTTTGGCGAACTTTTATACTTTTTGCTTCTTTGAAAGAAAGGTATGTGTAAGTCAAAGCAGAAGAGGAGGGTCACCAGAAGGATGCGAGCTTTGGGAAGTGTACTCGCTGAGGAACTGATGATGCTACTTGTCACTGTTTTGTCACACAGAACAGTTCGGTTTTAGCTCCAAATCAGACTCTGGATTGGATGGTGCCATACATTCACCCCCCGCCCCCAACTAGGTGGCCTGAATATATCATTGTCCACAATAGACTTTCATGAACCATTTATATATAGTACTTAACTTTAAAAAAATGAGGGTGCTTTTAAAAATGTGAACCAATGGACTTAAATAAGTTACATTTATATTTGCTGTTTATAGAATTGCTATCAGTGTATCTTTTGTGTTTATAGTCAACATGTCGTCCTGAAATCTTTAACTCATAACTGTCTCTCCTGTTTTCATTTTCAAAGAAAATCTAAGATACAATTAAGTTACCAACAAATCTTAAACATCTTTTATAAACCTATGCCACTATAAATTATGTGACTAAATGCTATTAAAAACAGTGATAAGAGTGGTGCCTGGGTGGCTCAGTCTGGTTGAGCCTCCGATTTTGGCTCAGGTCATGATCTCATGTGAGTTCGAGCCCCGCGTCTGGCTCTGTGCTGGCAGCTCAGAGCCTGGAGCCTGTTTCAGATTCTGTGTCTCCCTCTCTCTGACCTTCCCCCATTCATGCTCTCTCTCTGTCTCAAAAATAATAAACGTTAAAAAAAACATAAAAAAAAAACCCAAAAAACAGTGATAAGAAAAGTGGTTACTACATGTATGGTGTCCCTGAGTTTTATCGTCCATTTTTGTTCTAATGCAAAATGTATGCAAGTCAAGCCCCTTTTTAATTTAAGGAGTTAGGTTAAGCAAGTTTCTCAATATGACACATCTTCAACAGAATCTGCGGTGCCTATTTAAATAGGCAGTGCCTCCTACCTTACTCCAGTCCTACAGAATTAGAATCTCTAATTCAGAACAAAGTCTGAAAACTATTGGTAGGGGAATTCAATTTTCACAACACACACACACACACACACACACGTATATGTGTATATATATATATATGTATATGTATATATATGTGTGTGTATGTATATATAAAGCCATAGATTTCTATGTTCATGAAACTTAGAGGTCATTTAGCTAAAATCTACATTTTTTTCTTACCTTTAATAGGATTGAAATTATATTTTATACTATATCACAGATATAGTATTTTATAGCTACTTATAATTGACCTCATATTAGCCTTGAGTCCCCATCATGTCTGGTGGTAGGAACTGAAACTTAAAATTCCAGTTTAGGTCAATATTTAATCGACGTTCATCTCCCTTTTCAAAGGGTTTCTTTCCCTCCTTCCCTAGATATTTGCAACAACCGCTTAGCTCTATGTTAACCCAAACTAATTAAAGCAAGAGTGGACAATTCTAGACTTGGCTGTGCCATTTAGATTCTTGAGAATTTGAACTGATTTTCTGCATTTGAGTGAGGTGGCAGTTGTTCCACTGTAATGGTCATTATTACAGCAAAGGTGCCCTTACTCCCTGCTGCTGAGGAGCTCCCAGGGACCCCTGGCCCCTGTCCTGCCTCAGGCCCATCCAGCTCTTCCTTGGGACTTCTACAGTGGCCCTCATTTTCTTGAATTGTTTTGACAGTTTCTGTTCTGTGCAACCCACGACTGATTGGCATAGTTCTAAATTTATTGATGCTAAGAAGATAAAACATTTGGATTGTATACTTTTTATACTGTTGAAGCCTCTACCTAATGTGTGACTTATATAACCTAGGTAAAGAGATCTTTTTTACACTGGTATCTTTTCTAGTCTCTTAGCCTTTTATTTGTTTTTTTATTTTTGAGAGAGAGAGAGAGAGAGAGAGAGAGAGAGAGAGATCGTGAGTGGGGGAGGGGCAGAGAGAGGAGGGTACAGAGGGTCTAAAACAGGCTCAGTGCTGACAGCAGTGAGCCCGATGAGGGGCTTGAACCCACGAACCGGGAGCTTCAGCCCACAAACCGTGAGATCATGACCTGAGCCAAAGTCAGATGCTTAACCAACTAAGACAGGTGCCCCAGTCTTAGCCTTTTAAATAGATGTTGCTAAATCCTGCAGTCCTGGCTAGTAAGCACTTCCTTGCACCCCTCTCCTGGGAGTCACTTACAAATTCAGTTCCATTCCGTATGTATTTGTTAACACACACCCTGTAAAACATTGTAGTATGGTGGAGGGAACAGGAGGCCTGCTCTGAAGGAAGTCACAGTGGAGAGGAGCCTGTTGTGGCATAGCAGAAATGATAAGGAAGCCAGAGGGCAGTGTACCATAGAAGAGGCATTCAGAACACAAAGCATTCTAGACAGGCCTGGAAGTATTGGTCCGATTTTACCTGGAAGGGCAGGAAGAGCTGCTCCAGGCAAAGGTCAGGATTTCATAATCAGAAGTAGGAAGTAAGACCATTGGGAGGGCTGCGGAGGATAATGGGAAGGGCAGGGGGCCAGTCAGAAGCCCTAGGTGAGGCTTCAACATTGCTTCCCCCCCGAGTATGGGTGAATGGGGGGTAACTCATTCAGCCTCTCTTGGCATGTCACTCTGTCTCACCTGTAAAATAGGAACAGCACCCACTCTGCCTACTTCATAAATTGTCTAGACCAGTATTTTTCCGAGTGCAGGCCTCAACCTGTTACTAAATTGAGAAGCCAACTTAATGGCTTTAATGGGGTGTGACCAGCATTTTTTTCTTTTTTTGAAAAAATAGCATGAGAGTGCATGGCATGTGGTAATAGGAGATTTTGTTTCAGGAGTCTTCTATTTCCATGTGTGTGTGTGTTTTGCTTGTTTTGTTTGTTGTACTAGTATGTAAGATCTCTGAGGTGAGGATTTGTTTCCTTCCCTCCCCTCCTCTTTGTTCACTACTGTATTCTGTTTAGTTTTTGGCATATAGTAGGTGGCCAGTACCTGCTTATTGAGGGAATGAATGGATATATATGACCTGGGTCGTGATGGAGAAGGTATTTGTTTTGTTTTTTTTTTCACTGTGAGTCACCCCAAGAAAAAGTCTTGAAAGCCACTGCTCAAAAATACAGATAATAGTGCTTTGTATGATTCTGTAATAAAAACTAAAATGACTCACTGATTTCAAACAGATTTTGTTTCCTCTGAACAATCTATAAAACGTCTCATTAAGTGGTCTCAGTTCTTTGTTGTGCTTTGGCAGTAGAAACTCAGCCTTTCTAGGAGTTTAAGGCCCACGGAGGCAAGGGTCTTTGCAAACATGTTTACACTGAGAATAAAAGGTCAACCTAGGGCTCATCAGGTCATCGGTGCCAGTCAGCCCCACCACCAGCATCCGGCAGCCAGCACGAGTCCCATTTCAGCGTCCGCTCAGCCAGTGTTTACTGAATGCTGTTCTTCTTTACCTCTACGCACAGGGGACATGGGTTTTTTTTTTTTTTTTTTTTTAATGAGCAATAAAGAATGAACATAGGAGGAAGTGGAGAACTTCACTACCCTCAAGAACCTGACAGTCTAGAGTGGGTGAGACAAACACGCTAATAGATAACTTTCTGGTTGCACCTTATTAGTGAGGAGAGGATAAGTCTGGATGGGCCAGTGAAGCTTATGTCAGGATAAGCATCTGAGGGGCGGGCTTCTGTTTGGCTCCATCGGTGGAACATGTGACTCTGGATCTTGAAATTGTGAGTTAAAGCCCCACGTTGGGTGTAGAGATTACTTAAATAAATATATCTTTAAAACAACCAAACAAAAAAAAAGAATAAGCATTTGAACTTGACTTTTGAAAGAAGAGCGTCTCAGCCAAGGAAGATAGAGCAACAGTGAAAGCAAAGGAAAAGTCTGCACAGAGGCAGAACAGGCGTAGGGGCCATTGTGAAACACCAAAAGTCCAATTTGGCTGGACTTGTATGGATAGATGTGGATAAATTTGTATCCTGCAGTAATTAGAAATGAGGCCAAAGGCGCTAAGGTGCTCCATCCTTCGAGGAAGCTAAGGCCGTGTTGGGGTGAGGCCCTCGCTTCATCCAGCGACTAGCACTGTGACGGCAGCACTCGCCAGCACTGGGGCCTCCGTCTCAGCGCACCTGCATCATCTACTGGGCCCTCATCCTGCACAACGGTGAGGTGACAGTCACTGAGGATGAGATCAATGCCCTCATTAAAGCAGCAGGAGTAAATGCTGAAGCTTTCTGGCCGGGCTTACTTGCAAAGGCCCTGGCCGACGTCTACATCGGCAGCCTCATCTGCAATGTAGGGGCTGGTGGACCTGCCCCAGTAGCGGGTGCCGCACCAGCAGGAGGTCCTGCTCCCTCCACCACTGCTGCCCCAGCTGAGGAGAAGGAAATGGAGCAGAGAAGGATTAGAGGAGTCTAAATATTTTTAAATTATTTATTCATTTAAGTTATCTCTATACCCAAGGTGGGCCTTGTACTCACAATCCTGAGATCAAGAGTCACATGCTCCTCCAACTGAGCCAGCCAGGTGCCCCAAAAACCTGAACTAAAAAAAAAAAAAAAAAAAAAGGCCAAAGACAGGCTGGACAGACACATCCTCTGGAGAGTCTTGAATTCCAGGGTGAGGCAAATACCTCTAGTCTGTGGAACATTTTTGAGCATAGGCAGGTGTGGAGATGAACCGGTTAGGTCCTTCTCAGCCAGCTCATGGCAAAGGGGCCCTTGTGATAAACACCAGAAGAATATTACTCTTAATTTCTACTGAGATTTCAGACTGGTGTCTTCTGTTGATAACCACATCTTAACGCCAGCTCTCTCTTCCATTTAGTTCTTGGACCCTTCTCCCAAATTTCTCTTTGCTCACCTTCCATTATCTACCATTCTTCTCTCACCAATTCCTAGATCCCCACTTCTAAGAATGTCCTTTTGTTAGTGTTTTTTTAACATTTATTTATTTTTGAGAGACAGAGTGGGAGGGGCAGAGAGAGAGAGACAGAATTCGAAGCAGGTTCCAGGCTCCATGCTGTCGGCGCAGAGCCCGATGCGGGGCTCGAACCCATGAGCCATGAGATCATGACCTGAGCCGAAGTTGGACACTTAACCAACTGAGCCACCCAGGTACCCCTCTAAGAACCTCTTAAGAAAGAAAAAGCGAGGGCAGCTGGATGGCTCAGTTCGTTAAGTGTCTGACTCTTGATTTCAGCTTAGGTCATGATCTCATGGTTCCTGAGATCAAGCGCTGTGTCGGGCTCTGTGCCTACAGCATGGAGCCTGCTTGGCATGCTCTCCCTCTCTGCCACCCACCTCAAACTAAATAAACTTTAAAAAAAGAAAGAAAAAGCAAGGCAACCTCACACCATATTCACTTAATCTTCACAGCAGCTCAGCGAGGTAATGAAGTGGATATTCTTAGTAATCGCAGCATTAATTCTTCCTTTCGCCCTTGCAACAATACCCAAGTTTTTATTGGGTATGCCCCTTCTCTACAACAGCCAGTATGCCTCAGGGAAAGCTGACTGCCCCAAGCAGCAGGAGTGGGCCTTCCCCACACACTCAAGCCAATCAGGGCAATTCCTTTTTGCCACATCCAGTGTATAGCACACTGCATTTCACAGACCACAGGAATTGGTTCAGCATTGGACATGTTACCCAAACGAGACTCCAGAAGAGATTTGCTGGGCTTATGGGAAAGACATGTTCTCTCACCTTTGAGAATGCTACCAAAAGGCAGTCGTTCTATATGTATAAAAGGAAATATATGTGTGTGTATTTAATTATATTATATATATAATATATATATAATTAATATATATAATTAATGTAGTGACTGTGGGATGGAACCAGTCTTAGAATGAAGTCACTATCATAAAAGGGGCAGCAGAGAAATATAATGAAACTGGGTCCTTGACAACATCATCGGGTTGCTAAGTCAAACAATCCCTAAAAATGCTACCCTTCCTCTAGAATTTTCAGTTGTGGGAGGTAATCCTTATTTTCGTTTAAGCCAATTTAAAGTAGGTCTTCTGTCACTTGCCACCTACATACACTAAGCCGAGGTGCACTGACTTGCTGGCTAACCTCTTAGCCACAAAGCGAGGCAGTGGGGAAGCAGAACTCAAACCCACATCTGTCCTCAGGCCCACACAGTGCTGCCTCTGCTGCTTGCTAGTCTTCATCGTCACCAGAGTCAGTTGTCTATGCGTTCCCTCCCTGCCCTCCCTCTCACCATGTAGCTCAGAACGTTCAATACAGCAGCCAAAGGGATAGTTGTAAAATGTAAATGTGGCACACGAAAAGTGGCATCACTAATCATTAGGAAAATGCAAATCAAAACCCACAATGAGACCACACCACACACATTAGGGTGGCTACCATTAAAAACAAAAGCAAGTGTTGGTCAGGATGCAGAGAAATTGGAATGCATGGACACTCATGGCGGGAATATACGATGGTGTAGCTGTTGTGGATAACAGTATGGTGGTTCTTCAAAAAATAAAATACAGAATTACCATTTGATCTAGCAGTTCCTCCTCTGGGCATATACCCAAAAGAACTGGAAGCAGGGACACAAACATATTTGTAAACAGCAGCATTATTCACAATAGCCAAAAGGTGGAAACTACTCAAATGTCCATCAATGGGTAAATGGATAAACAAAATGTGGTATTTCCATACAATGGAATATTATTTAGCCTTTAAAAAGAGTGAAATTTCAAAATGGATTAAGGACCTGAATGTGAGACAGGAAACCATCAAAACCCTAGAGGAGAAAGCAGGAAAAGACCTCTCTGACCTCAGCCGTAGCAATTTCTTACTTGATACATCCCCAAAGGCAAGGGAATTAAAAGCAAAAATGAACTACTGGGACCTTATGAAGATAAAAAGCTTCTGCACAGCAAAAGGAAACAACCAACAAAACTAAAAGGCGACCAACGGAATGGGAAAAGATACTTGCAAATGACATATCAGACAAAGGGCTTGTATCCAAAATCTATAAAGAGCTCACCAAACTCCACACCTGAAAAACAAATAATCCAGTGAAGAAATGGGCAGAAAACGTGAATAGACACTTCTCTAAAGAAGACATCCGGATGGCCAACAGGCACATGAAAAGATGTTCAACGTTGCTCCTCATCAGGGAAATACAAATCAAAACCACACTCAGATATCACCTCACGCCAGTCAGAGTGGTTAAAATGAACAAATCAGGAGACTGTAGATGCTGGAGAGGATGTGGAGAAATGGGAACCCTCTTGTACTATTGGTGGGAATGCAAACGGGTAGAGCTGCTCTGGAAAGCAGTGTGGAGGTTCCTCAGAAAATTAAAAATAGACCTACCCTATGACCCAGCAATAGCACTGCTAGGAATTTACCCAAGGGATACAGGAGTACTGATGCATAGGGGCACTTGTACCCCAATGTTCATAGCAGCACTCTCAACAATAGCCAAATTATGGAAAGAGCTTAAATGTCCATCAACTGATGAATGGATAAAGAAATTGTGGTTTATATACACAATGGAGTACTACGTGGCAATGAGAAAGAATGAAATATGGCCCTTTGTAGCAAATTGGATGGAACTGGAGAGTGTGATGCTAAGTGAAATAAGCCATACAGAGAAAGACAGATACCATATGTGTTCACTCTTAGGTGGATCCTGAGAAACCCATGGGGGAGGGGAAGGAAAAAAAAAAAAAGAGGTTAGAGTGGGAGAGAGCCAAAGCATAAGGACTCTTAAAAACTGAGAACAAACTGAGGGTTGATGGGGGTGGGACGGAGGGGAGGTGGGGTGATGGGTATTGAGGAGGGCACCTTTTGGGATGAGCACTGGGTGTTGTATGGAAACCTTCATATATTGGGGGGAAAAAAAAGAGTGAAATTCTGGCACATGCTACAACATAGATGAACCTTGAAGCCAGTGTGCTAGGTGAAATAAGCCAGACACAAAAGGACAAACATTGTATGATTCCACTTAGATGAGGTACCTAGCGTAGTCAAATGCATAGACACAGAAAACCAAACAGTGGTTACCAGTGGCTGGGAGGGAGGGGGAAATGATGAGTTATTGTTTGGTAGGTACAGGGTTGCAGAAGAGAGAATGAAAGAGTTCTGGAAGTGGACAGTTGTAACAGTTAAACAGTGTGCCTGCACTTAATGTCAACAAACTTTAACACTTAAAAATGGTTAAAATAGTTAATTTTGTTAAGTATATTTTACCACAATAAATTTTTTAAAATATAAGTAGGATTGTGTCCTTTTTCTTCTCTGATGAGTTTCCATTTCACTGACAGTAAAAGTCAAAATCTTTACAATGGATTACAAATACACAAAGTATCGTCAAGTGAGTTTCGTGGTTGGAACAAAAAGAATTTGGCTGAAAACAAAGTGAAGTTTTCTTCCTCCTTGAATCTTAATGTACTCTCTTTCCCCCTTGGAGTTATTAAGTACTTCTACTGAGAGGCTATCTACTGAAAATGGCCAGTGATCAAAATGACAATTGGAATTTGAGTCAAATTATATGTAGTTCTACCCCAGCGGGGTAGAGAACCAGCGGGTCTGGATGATAATGAATGTCAGTTCCTGATCCAGAGCAATATCCTCGTTCTGTGTGTCTTTCGTTAGGCAAACCAGCCCGGTCCATCCAACAAAAAATGGTTTGACCTGAGATGCTTAGCCCTTCCACTCTTCTGGAAAGTGATGTTGATGCTTGGCCCCTGCTGTCTAATGTCAAGCGAGAGCAACTTTGAAGAGAGTCCTCTGGATACCTCTGGGACGTTGGTGCCTTTGCACTTGCTGTGCCCTCTACCTGGCATGCTTTTCTTCCTTATACCCATGGAGCTTGGTCCCTCAACAGCCTCCAGTCTTTACTTAAATGTCATCTTTTCAATGAAGCCTTCTCTGACCACTCTATTTAAAATGTCATCTCGTTCCCAGTACAACCTTGCTTAATTTTTCTCTGTGGCTCTTAGCACCTTCTAACATAGAATGTAATTTACTTTCTTGTTTATTGTCTGCTTTCCCACTAGAATGTAAGTGTTGTGAGGGCACATGTTTTTACATGTGTTTTTTTGTCCACTGTTCCTAGTGCTTAGGACAGTGCCTGATACATCATGGCAAGCAATGAAATATTTTAATGAATAAAGAAAAGAAGTCTGATCATCCAAAGGGAACACTGGCATCTCGGTCTTCAGCAGTGGACCCTCTGCAAGTGAAATGTACAAAAAGCTACACCTATAATTTTAGGGGATGCCTAGACTCCCTGAAGCCCAGCCATAAGTGCTAGTTAAAAACCTTTGATCCAAAGTAATTTAGCTGCTATACCTCTTTGAATGCCTCTCCAGTGCAGCCTTTGGGAAACCTCAGTGCCACAGATGTGATTACTACTGGGAGTCTCCCAGGAGACTCGGAGCCTTGCAATATTGTAGCAAATATAGCAAAGCTGGCAGCCATAGTTCTGCTAAGAAAACAGGAGTGTGTGCCAGCCCGTCATTTTTCATAACTGAGCTATTAATTCATGTTATCTTAGGAAAACACCCAACAGTAAAAGTATAGGCTCTGTGCAGCCACAAACTGAGGCACTGCCCTCCATCCCCAGAGGCACAAACCTTCATTCAAAAACCCATCTTCCAGTGTAGCCACTTTGTGAGTCAAATGCTCACAGATGCAAAGTTGCTCCCTTGGAGTATAGTTGGCTCCTTGGGAGCAGGAGATGGGGCAGAGTGACACTGATCGGCTTGTAGGTTCCGTTCAACATTGCCAACTTGTGAGGCAGCAGAAGCCAAGGGGACTCACTGCTTCTCAGAGGAGCTCACATGCGCAGCCAGACGAGAACTGAAGAATACGTAAGAATTTTACAAAATAGAGAGTGATAGCAGAGGAGCGGGTAGAAGAGAGAGGGCACTCAGGCGGAAGGTGAGCAGTCAGCAGGCAAAATGGCAGAGGGAGGGGATGGAATGGTGTCACAGCGCCGGCCAGAAATCCATGTGGAGGAGTTGGAGCTTATCAGAAAGGCCTTGGAGCGCCATTAAAGGGGGAAAGATGGAATACGATTTGTATTTAGTGAGATTTTCCCAGGAACCAGTGGAAGGTAGACTGGGTGGAGCAAGGAAACCACTCAGGTTGCTTTTAAATAATCACAGGACAAAATGGTATGCGCTGACCAAGCTGATGGCAGCGAGGAGAATGGGAAAGGAAGAGATTCGAAGGATATTAAGGTAGATAGAATTATCCACTAGTAGACAATGATTATGGAGGATGACAGAGGAATGGGGAGAGGGAGGAGTGAGGTCCTAGAATAACTGTCAGGCTCCTGGCTTGGACAACAAGGTGGATACAGGTGCATTTCCTTAGGAAGAAATATACGGTGGGAACATGGGGTTGAGGTGCCCTTCTCAACCAGAGCTCCACTAGGGAAGTAATAAGCCCTAATGCCCTAAGGCCTCCATTGTCTGGAATGAATTCTCGTCTCCCCCCTGCATCTATAACGTGTTTCTTAGGAATGATTTTAGTTGTTGTATGTATAGAGCAAAGTACTTTATGTACCTCAGTTCTCCAACTGAGAAGATAGGCACTCAAGTTATCTTCTGCCTTCTGTGGTTCAGAGGAAGGACCCCAGTTGAGAAAGGTTTAGATAATGTAGGTCGCCTTATGCTGAGCCTACAGGAGTGAGTGAAATTGCCCTGAGAATGTATATAAGATTGAATCAGAATAAATGAGAGGGTCAAGGGATGAGGAGCTGAGAAAGAAAGACTCTAAAGATACACCAGAAAAACCAGGAGATCATGACACTGTAAATTCTCACAGAAATCAATAAGAAGATAATCTCAGAAAGGATGGGGCGGGAGGAGGGGGGGGGTCAAGCTATTTCCTAAAATGTGATTATTGTGTCACTGGTGATGATAGAGACGATTCTTGGAGTTTATACTGACAAGCATTTTAAATTGCGATAATTATGTGTTTATTTCAAGGAATACAGCATTTATGTTATAAATAATAAGCATAGCTGACAGTTACTTATGTTTGGACAGTTACTGTGTATCAAGCATTGCTCTAAGTGTTTCATCATATGTATTAATATTATTACTCAATCCTCACCACATCCTTATAAGATACATATTGTTGTCCCCCTTTTAGAAATGAAGAAATTGAAGCCCAGAGAGGTCACACACCTTGCCTAAGGTCACAGAACTAGTAAGAAGCAGGGCTGCAATTTGAACCTGAGTGGTCTGACTTGAGAAACCCTGCTTAAGAGAAAGTTACTACTATTATTTGCTTTAAAAGAAATTCAAGCAAAAAATGAATCCATTTAAAGCAAGTATCAAATAAATAAAAGACCGAGTGGACTCAGCTATCACAAAAATTGTGAAAGAGGTAGAGGAATGATGACATTTGAGAAACAGTATCCTGGCTGGGGAGTTACACTGAGAAATCATGAGAGAGCAAAAGAAATACATGGCAGTGGACCTAACACAGGCCATACATGTCCTGAGAATACAGCACAAAAGGAAACATCTGGATCACACTGGTTCCCTGCCTACGGGGAGGTCAAACTGCATCCTTTCAATTCTGGGCCATGATCCTACGGACAGACAACAACAACAAACCACAAATACAGTATTAACTATTACCTGTCAAAAATGCATTTGTGAAAAAAAAATGCATTTGTGATTGTGGGGTGTTAGACTCCTTAGCAGTGTCTTAAAAGATTCACTGGATTTTAAAAATTTGGGGGCGCCTGGGTGGTGCAGTCGGTTAAGCGTCCGACTTCAGCCAGGTCACAATCTCGCGGTCCGTGAGTTCGAGCCCCGCGTCGAGCTCTGGGCTGATGGCTCAGAGCCTGGAGCCTGCTTCCGATTCTGTGTCTCCCTCTCTCTCTGCCCCCTCCCCCGTTCATGCTCTGTCTCTCTCTGTCCCAAAAATAAAATAAAAACGTTGAAAAAAAAATTTTTTTTTTTTAAATTTGGCCAAACTCTTAAACATTATGACCATAGTTAAGTGTATTAGAAATGTGCTAAATTACTTCCTTGATTGCATTTTGAACATTTCAGCAGCTGAGTACATTGTAAATACTCCAGCAGGAGTTTTTATTTCTCATCATTATTTCTTTGGGATCCCATGAGAAATACAAGAATCTTGTTTATTGCTGAAATATATCTTGTTTAATATCTTTCATGTCTGTCCCTGGTGTCTTACCAGCAAAAACGATAGTGAAAGTGCTCCTAAGCAGAGGGAGAAAACCAGGGAAACAGAAAGGAAGAAAAGGAAAAGGAAGTATATTGGAGAAGGAAGACAGAACCCACACCTTCTGGGACTCCGGGTCCTAATCTGGGAGAGGCCAAGAAAAAGGAGATGGAACAGACTGAATGAGTCAAATGTGTGGGGTCACGAGACTCCTCCAGGAATGGGAAAATCACGTCTTGACACCTGAGTGAGAGGAAGGGCGTACCAGGCCACTGCTGCATTGATGCACACATTGCACTCCTTGCCGGTGCTCACCTGAACCTTCTCTGGTCCTTTCAAGGTCTCCGTAGAACCTGGCTTCCATGGTGACCCCTGAGGAGGGTTTGTTCTCGAGGCCAGAAAGTCATGTGCTATCCCAGCCCTTGGACTTCCCAGCTCAGCGTGCGAACCTTCACACCCCTTTGGCTGGAGTGGAACACGTCTCTATCTGTACCTCACAACTACAGCTCTCTGAAGGCTGCCAGAATCAGCCCCCGAGGGTTCCACAGATCTACTCTCTGCACTAAAGGGAGAGAACAAAATGTGTTCCCATTTGCTGGGTGCAAATGAGGTCATGTTAACAGTTAACGATTCAAATGTCACTGGTTCTTGTCCTTCCTGCTCCAGCCCAGCATTCTCACCTGAAAATCAACCTCAGGTTGGTCTGGCAGGGGGATGTCTTACCTGGCTGTGTTGGCATCCTTACTCTCCTCTCTCCTCCGGGGCTTCCTCTCAGCTGGAAGTTTCCGCGATTCCATGAGATCTGTGAGGAGGGTAGTAGAATCTCCAGTACAGGAGCTTGTTGCTGTTTTAAACTCTTCCTTATAGAAAATTTCAAGCATATACAAAAGAACGTTGGTATAACAAACTCTCACACACCCCTTGATTTGCTTTAACCATGATCTACTCTAAGCCAATTTGTGTATCGCCTACATTTCCACCGACTCTTCCCCTCTGGATTATGTTGAAACAAATCCTTCAATCTTTTAGACTATATCTCAAAAAGACAGCTCTTAAAAAAAAAATTGAATGCAGGAGTATTTAAACCTCGGTTTATGTGTGTAAAATGCTACATGCATATATGCATTTTCCTGAGAAAATGGTCTATAGCTTCCATTACATTTTTATTTTTTATTTAAAAAAATTTTTTTAATGTTTATTTATTATTGAGAGACACAGAGAGTGTGAGCAGGGGAAGGGTAGAGAGAGGGGGAGAGAGAGGGGGAGACACAGAATCTGAAGTAGGCTTCAGGCTCTGAGCTGTCAGCACAGAGCCGACACGGGGCTAGAACTCACAAACTGTGAGATCATGACCTGAGCGGAAGTCAGTTGCCCAACCAACTGAGCCACCCAGGCACCCCAGTTTCCATTACATTTTGTAAAATGTAAAATGTAAAATTTTAAAAATCATTGCTCTAGGGGTGCCTGGGTGGCTCAGTCAGTTAAGCATCTGACTCCTGATCTAGGCTCAGGTCATGATCTCACAGTTTGGGAGATTGAGCCCCACGTTGGCTCTATATGCTGACAGTGTGGATCCTGGTTGGGATTCTCTCTCTCCCTCTCTCTCTGCCCCTTTCCTGCTCTCTCTCTCTCAATATAAACAAAATAAAAACTTAAAAAAAATCATTGCTCTAAGTAGGATAATGACAAGAGAGCCATTGTGCCTAAGGGTCAATAATTTTCAGTGAAACAGCTTATCTTTTCACCCTTATCACCATGACACCCATATGGAAAGATTTCTCAGACGCTCATTTCTCAGGAATGATTTAGAGCTACAAATTGTCTATTTTAAAGGTATTCAGGATTAAATATACTCTCCCAAAACCAAAGATAATAATTTAGAAAGCAGAAAAACAGTAATCTGAGGCATATACACAATGGTGGATATATTGTCATCTACAAGGCCTTTCCAAATGGGCTCCCAGCTGCCCAGTGAAGAAATGCAAGTTGGAGAACCAGAGAGAAGGTCAGTCAGAACAATTTCACTCAGGGTATTAGCTCAGGAGCATAGCATATGGGCAAAGAACTGCTCAAAATGTCCTTACTTTGCAAACCACGAAGAACATTACTTCTAGGAACGTGATATGAAAATAAGAAGCATTCAGAAGCCATACATACTGCTAAGTTTAAATAACTAAGTTATTTTAATAAAACAGACATAAAATATAGATTAAATTTTTTATTTTCAAAAATCTGGGGTAAACAGTCAAGCTGCACATACATAAACCAAACAACAACAACTTAAAACAAAACAAAACAAAACCCAGAACCTTGCAAACTGTTACCAGACTAATAGACTATCAGCTAGAGGGCTGGACTAGATGAACAGGAAAGTCTGTCTCACCTCTGACGTTCTATGACAGAAGACAGATGCCACATGTGCTTTCCCCCACGTGCACGTGTGTGTGTGTGTACATGTACAGGCATGGGGGGGTAATAAAAAGTTGAAAAGTGGTACATTAAAATCATTCAAGTTACTGACCATTTCTTATGTGATTCAGGATGATGTTTCCAGTGTTAAGAAATGATGGATATCCTCCTCTACACTAAGAAAAGAAAAACACATCCAGAATAGCGAAAACATTAGGACACAGCTTTGTTGTTATCATTTGGAACATACAGCCACATAGAAAATATTTAAAATGTTAAATAAAAGCACTGCGTTTCTCATTTAAGCAGTTACAGTGAACAGACTTTTGTCAGTCACAGCCAAGCAACAGGGGACCTTGGAAAAGGTTACACTTGGAACCTATCCAAAAGAGACTCTCTCCATCTGGAAGAGGTTTGCTGTGCTTCAGAATGGAAAACTAAGCAAATGCAAAACAACCTATTAACTATTCTATTGCTAAATTTAAAGCAAATATGCTTGTCGTGTTGAAAATTTAATTTAGAGTTTAAATTGCAAGGAAACTTGGGGCACAGATAAACCTTTATACTGTCAGGAAGGAACTGAGCATTAAGGCCAATGATACTCAACATTCCTGGGTCTTTTCAAGTCCTTCCAGTGCAAGCGAATGAAAAACCAAACCACACAACCCAGCTTCAGTTCTAACGTTGACATTAGACTCCAGAAGTAATTAATTAGCTTTTTTTTTTTTTTAATGCTTCTATTCCCTTAATACCTGAATTTAAAACTTCGAGCACAGCTAAAGAAGTCACTCTCACTGCCCCAGGCCAGCTTCCTGCTGTTCCAACTGGACCACTCTTGTATTCGAAAACAAGATTTGTTTTCCCTGGTCTCATTTTAAAACACAGATATAGATTCTGTAATTTTCTACCTTGGCACCTGTTAGTTCTGAATTAGAGGAGCAGGGACAAGCACATGGGATGGCCTCAACAAAGGTCTAGTTCAGGCTCTCAGACCCCAAAACAGAAGTGGGGACCCCTTTGCCTTTTCTCACTTAGAAGCAAAGGACTCTCTCAGAATAGTGTTTTAGGTGGTAGCAGAGGAAATTGAGGGCCATTTAAATTTTATTTGTAAGGAATGTATCTGAATTTTCTATTTATACTATAATGAACACTGCATTACTTCAGTAATAAAAATGAAAAAACACAATGCTGTCAAACGGCAATTATTTTCAGGTACATTTTCTTACATTAGGGAAGCCCATTCATGCGAGGACCTAGGGCACTTTCAGATATGTGGCTTCTAACCATGTTACCTATTTAAAAGCATATATTTCCTTCTTCTGGTGGGTAAATGATCTGATATTTAATACCCCAGAGTCCCTTGAAATTATATTAAGCAAAAATTGCTTTATAAACCAAACTTTGTAGGCTAGAATAGTACATAGATGGTTTATTTCCTGAATGCTTGTCATAACTAAACATCCTTTCTGTATCTTAACGTGTATCTAATTCCAAAATTCCACAACGTTTCCCCTCAAAATTCCCTATAGTTTCCTGGCATTTGGTGCTATAGAATAGAAGGTTGAAGCCAGAAAGCTCTTTTGTTTTCTGAGAGGCAACTGGTGACTTTCTGGCTGGATATGCCTGCAGGATTCTTCATTCTCTGTCCTTGGTAGTTTGACATTTTTTGCCAGGGTGTGCTTAGGTACAGGTCTCTTTGGTTTTATTTTATTTTATTTTTTGACCAGGAATGCAGTGAGTCCTTTCTAGTTTTTCCATCAGGAAAGCAAAACTCAGGAATGTTAGCTAATGTTCTGTCTTCCAAATCCATTAATCTCTCCCCATTGTTTTCATCTCTTCTTTCTTTTGAAAGGACATTAGGAAGAAAATCTCAAGTCTGTCCTTCACATTATTGATTTATTTGTGTGTTTCTAAGCTCAGTTGTGTTCTTTTCTGCTTCCAGTGCGGATTGTAATCTGATGTGTTTTAGCTTCCTTGAAATCCTTCTAAGCATTCTTCTTTTTCATTTTATTCTACCTCCTTTTTCTCTGAACCAGTCCCATTCTGACATAACTTGCTTCACAGAAGCAATTCTTCTTTCAGTTACAACAAGAAGAGCCCTACACTTCTGTTTCTTGCAGGAGACCACTTTCATTTTCAAATGCTCTTGGAAGCTGTTTATTTCACCTGGTTCAGTCATTTTTTTTATATACCCCGTGTTGCTTTTTTTTCTCTATACTCATCCTTAAATATGGTCGTCTCTTCCCAGATCCAGGACTTGCCTTTGGTTGTGCTATCTGTCCACACTGAGTGTTCTGTCAACACTCTTCTGTGGATACATGTGGTGGTGGGTAAGGAGATGTGCATACTTCCAAGTCCAATTTCAAGTTTAATGCTTTTCTATTGAAGTGGCATTCTTTTCCATCCTATTGCCTGGTTTCCTGGTTCTCTGAACTGATATTGTACGTGAAAAATTACAGTATTTGCATGTTCTGCAATTAGTTGTATCTGTCCTCACCTAAAGGACATTTTTCACAGAATGCACCAGGCCTCTAAGAGATCTCTCTGCTTTCTGCTCACATTTTGGGCCTAGGGTTTGGAGTCATGGACTGAATGAGGAGGAGGTGGGGCAGGGAGAAGGGTGGTGGGATGGAGAACCTTCATGGTCTGCTTCCTGGTTAAGAGGAAGGATCAGTCAGTTATTTTTCTGGCTCGGGAGACCTGATCCTGAGCAAGGAGGCAGGACATGGTTGGTGAAGAAAATGAGTTACTAGATATCTTTCAAATTTTTATATTCACAGTATGTCCATTTCATGACATGAAGCCAGAGAAAAAAGTGAGCTACAGCCTGGAAGATTTTCCCTCAATCCACCACCATATGCCTCATAAATTGTACCAATTCCTTCTAGATTCTAGAACTGAGATTTGGCCTTCTTTGGGGTCTCCATGAGTATTTCTTTGGGAAGTTAGGAGCTCAGTGGGGGCTTCTGACAGCCAGATGTCATTCTTCCAGATGCAGTTCAATAATTAATTTTTAAAAACCCAAATCTTCCCAGCTATGGTATGGAAGAAAGAGTTCTGGAATAATTTTCTAGTACTGAATCTACTTACTGTCTTGCTGATCTTCGATGGCCCCTTAAATATCTCTGGGCTTCAATTTCCTTATAGGTAAAATGAGGGAATTTGACTACGTGATCTCAGAGGTACTTATAGCCTATTGTTTTTTAAGTCTCAAAACAGAAAATAAAAATGCCCTGATAAAGGAAAGAAGAATACAAAACAAAAGACTAAGGTAAGTATATTTTGCTATGAGGGTGCTTTACCCTAAGGATTATAAAAATCCTTGGACACCAAAATTAAAAAGCAAAAGTAAAAAACACGAGCATGTAATTGTGACATAGGTTAGGTAGTTCTTTACATTTTATTCAGTGATAACAGTGTCAAAACAGGTGCAGTAAGTAAACTACTTGACTCTTATTAGAATAAGCTGGCATGATCATCTGCCCTTTGGATTAGAGAATAGGTAATACGAGTTATTTATTGAATAAAGACAGAAACTTATCACTATGCAGAAAGTTCACAGAAAACCATCAGGCCTCCCAGGAACTACTGAATCATACTAATGACCAACAGATTAGTAAGAGAGTGCATACAAGGTGTGCCACAGTATGTCTTGAGAAATGAAGTATTCCCAAACAGAAATTGTGTTTAATTTTTTAAAGGTTCTGTGATAAATGGACCTCTGTGGCCCTGAGGAAGACAGTTTTCTCTAATGGACTGAGCACTATATTTGAAGCCGGAAGACCCTGGGTCCAAACTTAATTTCTCCTTATTAGCTCTGTGACACTTTGGGAAATTTACTTAACTTCTCTGAGCCTTGGTTTCTCAATAAGTAACATGGGAATAATTAGACCTACCTTGCAGAGCTGTTGTGAGGTTAGATGAGAGAGAGTATGAGGCAGCTGTCAGGAAGCACTTACCATAATGTTAGTCAAATGTGAACCTTCTAGAAGCTTATTTGAACTGTAACAATAACTACAGTTAAATGCAAATTAATCATATCAGTTATATTGACTATAAAACACTTAGGAGCCCAATCTCATCTCAATGGGGGTCTATTTAAATGCTTTTAATAGTAATGTAAGCAATATGCATCCAATATAACCCAGTGATCTTTTTGTTTTGGTTTTAGTAAATATTTCCTGAAATTATTAACTTCCATATGAGCTGCATTAGATAAATAATAAAGCACTTTAATTGAGCATAGAAGTCTGATTCTGATCAACAACTAAACATGAGAAGCAACTCTGGTTTCCTTGGATCATAAAGAACTGGAAACACTCAAAATCATAACAAACTTTGCCAGAAGGAGGGGCAGCCTCCCATAAAGGAAATTTGGGAAATCCAGTGATGTCAGGAGTCAGGGATATGGAATACATAGGAATTCCCAGAGATAAGTTAATCACCCACATGCCCACATGGCGTCCTCCTCTCTCACAAAAGGAGCTCAGCCATAGGTCACCACCAATCTCTCCCTCCACTCATGGTTTTGCTAAGGTGATTAATCTATGTGGGGGAAAGAAAACAGCAAAGATTTTTCAGAACACTGACTAAATACAATTGAATGTTTTTCTCCTAATACAGAGCATTAAACATCCAATCCCACAGCAAAAACATTTAAAGATATATGTGAATTTGAATATCTGTGAATTGTTAACAGTTTCTAAATGTGCATGGGCCTTTACTTAGATGAAACTGGAGCTCATGTAGAGAAGATGAGGTAACTCTGAGGTCTTTGTTGTCTGCATTTATTGGTGCCTAAAGGAAATAGGTTACTAGCTCAACAAGGTTTAGCAATCCAGATGTCAGTAAAAGCAACAAAGTGATGCATGTTGATAAGCACAATATTTAAACATCCTGTTTCCTTTATTTAAGTAATTAAAGTGTGGCCAGCATTAGCCTAGACTGAGAAAAGCAATCAAATATTCTGTTGCCTAGAAATAGCAAAAAATAATTTTAGAAGTTGTGAAAACTGAAAATTGAAGAAAACTGTTATTCTAGAAGAAAGTGTTCCGGTACAGCAAGAAACTTCTTAAAATTTAGGAGATTCACTACATGACCTTGAGGAATTAGGAATCTTGCTTCCAAGTTTTGCCACTTCCTAACTATATGGGCTTGAGGAACTGTGATACTGTTCACGCTGGAGATGATCCATCGCAACAATCCCGCTTTATTATAGTTGTTGGAAGTGAGACCAGAATTGCCAAGTGAGTGGTGAAGGAGCTCCCAATCAAGTCCTCTTCCTACTACAGAAAAGGGTTTCAGCTTCTAAATGAAGGTTATTTTGTCCAGATTCTCCCAATGACGGTCTATGAACATGCTGAGAGAGTGGTATAGTGCTTGATGCTTTTAATAAGGTCGAATTTAAATAAAAATCAAAGGAATAGAATTTCACATTTCTTCAAACACCATTTAACAGTTATGGCAGATTAATACAGCATATAATCCAAGGAGAGGTGGGAAACGCCACACAACCAAGGAGACCATTTCGTTCACAACTTTGGTTAGGTTCTTCCATATTACTCCCCTTTGCAAACACACTAAACAATGCAAAAGCTTTCTCATAAAGCCTCTTAAGGCATCTCCATTCTTCACTAGTTTTTGCTTACAGCTGAGGTATCAGGGCTGGGCTGTGTTGGAGGTAGAATTTATGGGCATAAATGTGACCAGATTATCAGGTTTGTTTTCCTCTTCAAGTTTAACGGTTTAAAGGAGAGAGAATCTCCACAATGGAAGAAATAATTGATGTAATGCAGATTAGTTGAATATTATTATTATTCTTACCAAAAATTGTAGCTAAAATAGCTAACATACTGCATGCTTCCTATGCACCTAGTACGGTATTAAATAAAGCCTTTATGTTTAGCGGGATCATACCCTTCAAGCTGATTCCCTATCATCTCTGCTGGAATAAACTTCCAAGGGGAGACCTGCTAGATTCTGGAGAGGAGGTACCTAGCAAGCAGGGCTCACTTAAGAGCAGATGCAGCAGGTGCTGGGGGCAAGAGTTCACCAAAAGCACTCACTCCACAGGTACTCTCCTAATATCTGTAGCCGTACAGTTCCTGATGCAAAGCCAGAGGCAACTTGTGCTTAGATGAGCTTGTGAATTCCTGATATTCACTCCCACTTTTGAGTAAAATAAGTAAATAAAGGGAAGTGGAGAAAATGCCCTTAATCTCCCCGCTTCTTTTTCTTGGGATTCTCCTTTCTCTTGGCTTAGGCAAGAGTAGAAAATCATGGCATTCCCAGCGGGCATGATTTAGAGCTGGCTGGAAAGGCTGAATGCCAACTAGAACTAGCTACTCTGGCCCCACTTCAGATCCTCTGAGGATGGACATGGCCGTATAAAGGAACAGGTGCTTTGCCATTTTAGCAGGTCTACCAAGTGTTACCACATATAAATTTAAAGTATGTGTTGCATACACACACATCTAACACAAATACATAACAAAGCACCTAGTACAATGTGTGGCACAGAGGAGCACTTGATATGTGTTTTCTTTCTCACTTTTGCGCTCCTCAAGGGAGGCATGTAATGCACGGCATTTATGATGCTGAGATACAATTCTTTCATTCCATCAGATAGCACTGAAGATTCCACCTCCTGATTTTTTATTATAACCATTCACTTCAGAACGCTGGGGATTTATAACACATCAGATAGTGATAAGCAACAAATGTGAGGCAGAGGTGGTTATTCAGCTGATGAAAAGCCACTCTCAACAGAAAGATGACAACCTCTGGGTCAGTTATTGCTACTTACAGAAATGTTATAATCTGAAAAGATCCCGGAGATCCCTAATGGCGACTTCTTCTCATTTCTATTTAAAATAAAGATGGAGGTTTTATTCAATTAGGCTGTAGGCTCTGTCTGCCCAATAGTTCACATGGGTTATATTTCTGTTTAAGTGCAGAACTGACAGAAAATATGACCGTCTGCCTTCCACGAACAAAATAGCCTTTGGGTGTTTAGCAAACTAAAGAAAACTGTACCTAATGTTTTGTGTCTCTTTTTAAGCAAAATCCTAAAATCACTATAGGAAATCACAACAGAACAGTACGCAATATCAAGTCATAACACTGATTATTCAGTATTGCCTGTTATTTATATACACATGGAGACATACCAAAATTAACCCATATTCAGGAAAGATCAACTAGTAAACAAAATTATAAATGTGCAGTTTAACTAAAAAGGGAAAAACATTAAACCTTAAGGCAGCATTGGCTGAGTCTTTTCTGGTAAGGGAAGTATTACATATTTCAATGACTGGTGAATGATATTTAAGAACGATTAATTAAAATAAATACTAAAATAATGTTTTGAAAAAGAAACAGGACTGATTTTAGGACTCTTATAAAATGAATTTATATTGGAATTTTAATTTTGGATTAGAAAGCACACGCAGGAGCATACTGGTATAAAGCTGTAGCAGTCTTTCCTCAAATACAAAATACAGATTTCTGGAAATTATTATTAATTACCACTCTTTGGGCTCCTTTCTCAGTTATCATTCAGAGTAGTTATTAGAAAATTCTGCTGATGTTTCAGCAGCATGTGTTCAGGTTGAAGTTTACCTGAGTGAAATGATTTCAAACTGCATTAACAGCCTGTCATCATGCTCTGATTCTCACAACTACGTCCAAAATGCTGAGCCTGCTTACCTGGTAGGCTGCCTACGTCATCATGTCCCAAGCAGTGGTGCCAACCTCAAATGATGACATCTACTGTGGCTGGAAGAGTCATACTTTGACAAACATATTTCAAAGCTCTTTAATGAACACATTTTGGGGTTTTCTTTGCAGCTTGCCTTGTTGGATTTTCCTGGTTAAGCTGAAAAATTACCATTAGTTGTTTTACAGATCCAGTGCTAGATGCTGACAGAACAACTGTGTGACACAAAGAACAGATTAAAGACAGTTCCAAAAAAACGTTCGAATGAAAACAGCTTTCACGTGGTACTGAGAAATAAAACGTAGGCACTTCTGCTTCAGGAGGTTTTCTTATTTTGATCACAGATCGCTTTCCCAAGCCACTTTTTTTTTTTTTTTTTTTTCCACTACTGGAAATTCCCTCATGATACAAACCATCTAGTTCACCGGAAACCTTGCTCTCATAAACATCTTCTGGTGCATTAATCTCTTTCCATAAAATTAAAACTGCCTCCGTTGATGCAGGAATCAAGTTGCTCCTGTGCTGACAGCAGTGGGGGGCAGCCCCCCGCCTCTCTTATCAGCACTACTGAGTGCAGCCCCACCAGCTTCTAGCAACCAAAGCTGCTTGCTCTGCAGAACCAAGTCATCCATCAACAAGACACAGAGAGGAGTGTCGAGTGCAATTTTTCTCCTGGAAACAGTTAACATGTCTGCCTCTCTCCTTCCAGTTCCTTACTGTGAGTGTAATTCAACAAAGTATATATAGTCTTCATAACATTCTAAAGCTACTAGGCTACTGGGAGTTTTTTAATGACTACTTAAACAGTCTCCTTTTTCTTCCTCTTTTTTTTTTTTTTTTTTGAGAAAAATCTGTGCTAAAAAGGCACTAGATAAGATGAACTTCCTCCACTTTTGTGTATGGAACAATTATACATTGTGTTAGATTCTATTATTTAACAAAGGTGACACACATTTGGATAAAATACCCTAATTACTCAGACCCATCTACTTTCAGTTAAAAAAAAGAACACACCCGAAGTCAAAGAAACAGCAGGTCACACTGACAGAGACCAGCCTGACCTTGATGTCACAGTCGTCCCCTGCCACCTTGGAGCTCTGGCCCTGGCCGCCTGAGGGAGCTCCCTCCCATCAGGGTAAGCAGGGCAGTGGCCTGGACCCAGGGAAGACTCACTGACAGCAACTGTGGGAGCCAAGTCTCCTAGAGACCTGAGTAAATGAGACAAAGGTGAAGTTCTCACAGTTTTCCAGCTTGACCTTCTTGGCTAAGTTTGGGACAATTCCCCGAAGAGAGCGCAGTCCCATCCTCTGTTCCTCATACCATATGCTGCCCATGTCTGTGGCCTCCTTCCTGGCTGTAAGGTAGAAAGGGGACTTGGCCTCCATTTGGGTGGGCGGCCGGTGGATGTACATATACTTGTAGAGGAGGCAGTAAGGGCACTGTTTGTGTCCCCGGGAATGCTCATGGTAGATTTTCCCATGACACACTCTAGTGGAACCGCTCCGGCTCTCCCGCTTGACACTGTCTGTCCGGGCAAAATAGGGCTGGTTCTGTGGGTCTTTGAGCAGCTCAATGTCACCATACATCAGATCTGCATGCTCCTGCAGTGTCCGCATGTTCAGGTACTGGCTGTTGTACTTGACCACAGTGGACAAGAGAGTAATGGGGCTGTCATCCCCTAGACACCCTGCCTGCCACATCTCCTCCTCATCAGAAAGAGAAAAGTAGACAATATTGCGAGAACGAGCACCTGACATCCCTGCCTTGCTCAGCACCCACAGCTTCTCCTTGAGTTTCTTGGTGGAAGAGCTGAAGGTGCTGCTGGTGATGGAAAAGCCCACACCTGCATTCTTCAGGATGCGGTCCAGGCCCCGGCGGATGGCGTGCAGCGAGGTGGCCAGGAAGTCGGAGCCGTCACTCTTCTTAACGGTGACGTAAAAATTCTCGAGCAGCTCGTTCAACTTCGCCGCGGGGATCTCAAATGAGACAAACACTGAGGTTACATATTTGAGGACACCCAAAGAGCCAGACCCCTTCCTTCTCCTGATCCTCACTAGGGGCTGTATTGTGGACAAGACATTTTGTGGTCTCTAGAGGGTTGACTCCTCAGCATGAGACAGTGAAAGAACTTCAAGCAGAAGATCTTGGTTCCACACTTGTAAGCTAAGTGTTTCAAGCAGCAAAATGGGACATAATACTCAAGACCTACTCAAAGAATTACTGTAATGCTTAAATAAAGTAGGGGATGAGGGAGCCTGGGTGGCTCAGTCGGTTGAGCGTCTGACTTCGGCTCAGGTCATGATCTCGCGGTCCATGAGTTCAAGCCCCATGTCGGGCTCTGTGCTGACAGCTCAGAGCCTGAAGCCTGCTTCGGATTCTGTGTCTCCCTCTCTCTCTGCCCCTCCCCCACTCATGCTCGCTCTCTCTCTCTTTCTCTCTCTCTCTCTGTCAAAAATAAGTAAACATTAAAAAATTAAAAAAAAGTAGGGGATGTGAAGTGGTTTGTAAACGCTGAAGAACACATATACACGTATATCTATATAAGTATTCATATGTATACTAGTTACTGTTATTGGCCTTTGTAACTTTCACTATTCAGTTCCTCTCTGGAAGCCCCTTTTTCTCCAGAAGCCCCTTTCTCTCTTTTCTAGCAAATCATTTCCTTCTCTCTCCTTTGGGAAAATTCAACCATTCTTTCTGAAGAATTTGTGAACTAAATTTATAGACTGAATCATCCAGCATTAATTTCCTCAAAATCTGCACATACGATTGGGTCCTGCTGGCACTAAACACTGGGCCTTTAGGGAAAGGCGATGGGCATGTCTGGGTTGCAGAGCAAGTTAATGACCTTGATTCTTCACTTGAACATATCTGAATAGGTCCAGAAATATCACTGGCTTAATGACCCATAGGGTTGAAATATCAATACTTTTTCAAAAAATATGAAAAGCTTAATGACTGCACTGACAATTAGAGAGAGCTTCTCAGTTGGATGTGGTAGGAGAAGAAGGAAGCCTGGCCAGTAAGACAGCTTTATTTTCAAGAAGGAGCTAGACAGAGAAAACCAGACTTTGCTCATAGTCATTTCAGGCCGACTACACATTCTAGGACAAAAGAAAGTCTCAACAGAAAACTTTTTAAAAGTAGAAACTGTACAGGTAACACTCATTCTTCTAATAGCTCTTGGGTCAAAGAGAAAATAAAAAGTGAGTTAGAGATTAAAAATGAACCAAACTGAAAACATTCCATATCAAAATGCATGAGATTTGCTAAATACACTCTCATAACATCATACTCTTGAATGACTTTGTTAGAAAATTGTCCTGAAAATAAGCAAACTGATTATTTAGCTGAAAAAGCTAGAGAAAGTAAACCAAATGAAAAAATAATAGAGCGAATCATGGGGTACCTGGGTGGCTTAGTCGGTTAAGTATCCGACTCTTGATCTCAGCTCCAGTCTTTTTTTATTTATTTTTTATTTTTTTATTTTTTTTTTTCAACGTTTATTTATTTTTGGGACAGAAAGAGACAGAGCATGAACGGGGGAGGGGCAGAGAGAGAGGGAGACACAGAATCTGAAACAGGCTCCAGGCTCTGAGCCATCAGCCCAGAGCCCGACGCGGGGCTCGAACTCACAGACCGTGAGATCGTGACCTGAGCTGAAGTCGGACGCTTAACTGACTGCGCCACCCAGGCGCCCCAACAGCTCCAGTCTTAATCTCAGGGTTATGAGTTCAAGCCCTGCACTGGGCTCACACTGGACATGAAACCTACTTTAAAAAAAATAGAGGGGTGCCTGGGTGGCTCAGTCAGTTAAGCCTCTGACTCTTGATTTTGGCTCCAGTCATAATCTCATGGTTCATGGGACTGAACCCCATGTTGGGCTCTGAGCTGATGGTGTGAAACCTGCTTGGGATTCCCTCTCTTTCCCTCTCTCTCTGCCCCTTCCCTGCTTGCTCTCTCTCTCTCTCTCTCTCTCTCTCTCAAAAATAAACTTAAAAAAACAATAGCGTGAATCAATAAAAAATAAAACATAAATTAATGAACTAGAAAAGATATAAATTGGGATAGATTAAAAAGTGAAAATATGTAGGGGTGCCTAGCTGGCTCAGTTGGAAGAGCATTCAACTCTTGATCTCCAGGTTGTGAGTTTGACCTCCATGTTGGGTGTAGAGACTACTTAAATAAATTTTTTAAAAAGCTTAAAAAAATGAAAATATGGGGTAACTGGGTGGCTCAGTCGGTCAAGCCACTGAGCTCAGGTCATGATCTCATGGTTCATGGGTTCAAGCCCACAAAGGGCTATCTGCTGTCAGCATCAAGCAGACTTTGGATCCTCTGTTCCCCTCTTTCTCTGCCCCTCCCCCACTTGCATGCTCACTCTCTCTCTCCCTCTCAAAAATAAACATATTTTAAAAATTGAAAATATGTAATCTTTGGAGAGACCTATTTTGACAAACTTCTAGTGGTTGTGACAGCAAGAAAGAGAAAGAAGAAGAAAGGAAATATACATTTAAATAACATTAGGAATGAGAAAGACAGTAAACTATAGAAAATTAATCAATAATATGAAAGAACATTATATACTTTGTACATATTAACCTGAAAATCTAGGTAACCTGAATAATTTTCTAGCAAAATGCAAATTACCAAAGTTAGTTCAATAAGAGGTAAAAGATCTGAAGAGCCCCCAAAATATGGTGAATGATGGTCAGGGATGTACATCACTCCTAAGGAGTTGGCTTTATGGAGTCTATTCAGCTTTTGCATTTAAACAGTTTTGGAGCATAGGAAAAAGAAAGTTTCTTCATTTTTTTCTACTCAAAATCTAGCAGATATATAATAAAAAGTGTATGAATATAAAGGTAAACAGACAATGTTTGTTTTGCACAGTGCCAGGTTAAAGTAAGGCATGTTTAAAGTGTGCATGTTAGAACCGTGCAAAGCGAGAACAAGGCTCCAACACACGGCTCTGATATGCACGAGCAGCAATTAACATGGTACCATGGAAAACAAGGGCTGCCTCTATTATCAAATCAGATTCAGAACTGCAGGAAAGCAATACTGCATCGAGACAAGTAGGGATTGTTGCAGAGTGTAAACATGATTCGGTCTTAATAAACATGTTAATATCATTGACTTACTCATAGAGAAAGTAACATGGACTTGCTGAGTACTGAAAAATGACTTCAAAGTATGATATCCATTTGAAAGTTTCTTTTTTTTTAAATTTATTTTTGAGAGAGAGAGAGACAGAGCGTGAGCGGGGGAGGGCCAGAGAGAGGGAGACACAGAATCCGAAGCAGGCTCCAGGCTCTGAGCTGTCAGCACAGAGCCCCACGCGGGGCTCAAACCACAAACCATGAGAACATGACCTGAGCTGAAGTCGGACGCCCAACCGACTGAGCCACCCAGGTGCCCCTCCATTTGAAAATTTTAAGAATTCAAATTAAGTTTAGATTGGAAGAAAAAAAATCCAATCCTCTTACTATGATGAAGAGTATTTTACAGACCAGAACTATAAATATTATACCTACGATGGAAATGTTAGAAATTTTTTTTTATAATGTCAGGAATAGGATGAGCTTGCTGAATATAATTACTGTTACATAACACACTGTTCTGGAGGTCCTAGCCAACCAGGCAAGACAAGAAAAAAAATGACACACACACACACACACACACACACACACACACACATATGTATGTATATGTGTATACTAAAGGAAGACGATAAAAATATAATTGTTTTCTGATAATCTGATTGTTGGTCTAGGAAATTTCCAAGAGATTCAGCTGAAAAGCCATCAGTGGGATAGTTATATGCAAAACATAAAAATGCAACAGCTTTCTTACATACCAGTAAAAACCAGTTAAAACCACTATGACTCCCAAACTTAACTGGTTTCAGATTTTTATGTTGTCACTTGCAACTCCCTACTTGCAGGTGTTAACCTCTCTTTGTATTAGTTGGGATTCCTTTGGTTGCAAGAGATAAGCCAAATTTGAACAAGCCTTGGCAGGGATGTCAGCATTAGTGGTCTCCAAGACCATCAGGCCTCTTCTCCCATCTCCGCTTCTCTGTGTAGAGTGGCTTTCTTTATATAGCTTACAACATAACCCCCCAGCACTCCCTAAGGTTTGCATCTTACAGCTTCAGGTACTGGCAATGTTCCAACTCTTATTTTCAACAGAAAAAATCTAAAGAAAGGATTCTGGTTGGCCCACTCCTGATCCAAACATCCAACCAAAAGGTAGGCTGTTGTACTAACATGATGGCTTCTTCAGTAACAACTGGGACTAGAGGAATGGCTCCTTAATAAGGGATGTTGAGAAAAAAGTCTTTTGCCTGTAGTACTTAAAAACAACACAAGACACGACAAGAAACCAACCAACCTCTGATAGCTTCCTGTTGCCCTTAGACTAAATTTCAAACTGTTCACCTTGTAAGCAAGTCTTTACATAATTTGCTTTCACCCTCTGGTACATTGTTTGCAAAGACAGCCACAACTGCTCCCCTCCCTGTTCCCACCCCTCTCTGCAATGCTGCTCCTCCCATCAAGGGGTGGAACCTATTTTTCCCATCCTTGGAATCTGGGCTGGCCATGACCTGTCTTGACTAAAGAACATGGCAAAAGTTAACTGTGTGTGAATTCCAAACTTAGGCCTCAAGAGATGCTGCTTTCATCTGCTTTGGTCTTATAGGTTCCAACAGGTTGTGCTTTCATCAGCTTAGTACATAATGTTACCAAGTGAGGAAGCCCAGTGAGACCATGTAACATGTGAAGCAGAGACAAGATGTCTCCCATCTAAAGCCTGCACCCACATGTTAGATACTCCAAGTGACCAGTAGAAGAACTACCCAGCTAAGAACAACCCATAGAATCATGAGCAAATAAAATGTATGTTGCTTTAAGCCACTAAGCTTTTGAGTGGTTTGTTATGCAGCTATCATTAACTGGTACACACACTATTT